TTTCTTAGGGCCCGAGCGTAGCTGCTAAGCAGCTGCGAGAGCCCTCTTGTTCCTGATGAGTTTTTAGGGCCCGAGCCAGCTGCAGAGCAGCCGGGCGTAGAGCCCTGTTGTTCCTGTAGTGGTTTTTCTTTGTTTCTTCTTTCTTCTTTTTCCTCCCCTTTGAACTGGAAAATGGCCCACTTCCCACTGGCGAAAACTCATGAAATTTGGCAGGACGATTGGGCCTGGTGAAAAATTCGATATTCTGAAGTCGCCCAAACAATAAAATGCAAAATGGCTCCATAGCGCCCCCTAAGGTGTAAATTCACACTATTGACTGTCACGCCTGTACGCTTTGTCATATTGACACAAAAATTGACACACATATGTATCTCAATAAGATCTACAAAAAAGTCAGTGCGGGCGTATTTGTCAAATGTACGGTTAAAGGGTTATTCCGCATTTTTTGCCGATCCGCACACATTGGAATTTCGCTAACTCCTCCGAAGGCTTTCGTTCCACCGGCACCACATTTGCTCAGGCCAATCTACACCCCATGGCCATTAAAAGTTATTCAAATCATGACGCTGCACCCCACGGTTTAGGTTCTAGGGGGCGCCAAAAATAACCCTAAAATCTACATATTTAAAAGTCTTATAACTTTTTATTTTTGTCCTCACTGGCCTCAAGTTTTCTAGGATGATGCAATGTCCAGCCATCAACACATTTGTGAAGGAATTTTTACTCCCCAAAAGAGCGCCCCCCCATGGCAGGAGAAAAAAGTCAATTTTTTCTTGTCCCCTAAGGTGAAAATACACATTGTTGAGTGTCACGCCTGTACGCTTTGGCAAAATGACACAAAAATTGACACACACATGTATCTCAATAAGATCTACGAAAAAGTCTATGCGCGTGTATCTGTCAAATGTACGGTTAAAGGGCTATTTTGCATTTTTTGCCGATCCGCACACATTGGAATTTCGCTAACTCCTCCTAAAGCTTTCGTCCCATCGGCACCAAATTTGCTCAGGCCAATCTACACCCCATGGCCATTAAAAGTTGTAAAAATCATGATGCTGCACCCCACGGTTTACGTTCTAGGGGGCGCCAAAGATAACCCAAAAATCCACATTTTCAAAAGTCTTATAACTTTTTATTTTTGTCCTCACTGGCCTCCAAGTTTTCTAGGATAATGCAATGTTCAGCCATCAACACAATTGTGAGGGAATTTTTACTCCCCAAAAGAGCGCCCCCTCCCGTGGCCGGAGAAAAAGTCAAGTTGTTCCTGCCCATCGCTCAATGGCTTAAACGCATCGCTCTCTCGGCAAAACCGAAAGGAGGAGCAACTTGCCATTTGGATATATCCTAGCTGTGTTTGTGCCCTCACTCATGGTCCAGACTTTTTTCAAATAAGACATGGAGTTTTTCTGCAGCGAGCGTTTTGGTAGAAACTGCGCCTCCCATTCATTATAATGGTAAATGACCACAGACAAGTGCGCACACCATCTTTGGACCTTGAGTGTGACGCGATCGGAAGGGGGGGGCCGTCGCGCTGGGGGCGGCACAACATGGCTCGGGCCTGCCAGTGCCCCGCCGGGGCCCTAGTTAGGGCCCGAGCGTAGCTGCTAAGCAGCTGCAAGAGCCCTCTTGTTCCTGCATGTTTCCTTCTTTAGGGCCCGAGCCAGCTGCAGAGCAGCCGGGCGTAGAGCCCTATTATTCCCCAAGTGGTTTTTCTTTGTTTCTTTCTTTCTTTCTTTCTTTCTTTCTTCTTTTTCCTCCCCTTTGAACTGGAAAATGGCCCACTTCCCACTGGCGAAAACTCATGAAATTTGGCAGGACGACCGGGCCTGGTGAAAAATTCGATATTCTGAAGTCGCCCAAACAATAAAATGCAAAATGGCTCCATAGCGCCCCCTAAGGTGGAAATTCACACTATTGACTGTCACGCCTGTACGCTTTGTCATATTGACACAAAAATTGACACACATATGTATCTCAATAAGATCTACAAAAAAGTCAGTGCGGGCGTATTTGTCAAATGTACGGTTAAAGGGTTATTCCGCATTTTTTGCCGATCCGCACACATTGGAATTTCGCTAACTCCTCCGAAGGCTTTCGTTCCACCGGCACCACATTTGCTCAGGCCAATCTACACCCCATGGCCATTAAAAGTTATTCAAATCATGACGCTGCACCCCACGGTTTAGGTTCTAGGGGGCGCCAAAAATAACCCTAAAATCTACATATTTAAAAGTCTTATAACTTTTTATTTTTGTCCTCACTGGCCTCCAAGTTTTCTAGGATGATGCAATGTCCAGCCATCAACACATTTGTGAAGGAATTTTTACTCCCCAAAAGAGCGCCCCCCCATGGCAGGAGAAAAAAGTCAATTTTTTCTTGTCCCCTAAGGTGAAAATACACATTGTTGAGTGTCACGCCTGTACGCTTTGGCAAAATGACACAAAAATTGACACACACATGTATCTCAATAAGATCTACGAAAAAGTCTATGCGCGTGTATCTGTCAAATGTACGGTTAAAGGGTTATTTCGCATTTTTTGCCGATCCGCACACATTGGAATTTCGCTAACTCCTCCGAAGGCTTTCGTTCCACCGGCACCACATTTGCTCAGGCCAATCTACACCCCGTGGCCATTGAAAGTTATCAAAATCATGACGCTGCACCCCAAGGTTTAGGTTCTAGGGGGCGCCAAAGATAACACTAAAATCCACATATTTAAAAGTCTTATAACTTTTTATTTTTGTCCTCACTGGCCTCCAAGTTTTCTAGGATGATGCAATGTCCAGCCATCAACACATTTGTGAAGGAATTTTTACTCCTCAAAAGAGCGCCCCCCCATGGCAGGAGAAAAAAGTCCATTTTTTCTTGTCCCCTAAGGTGAAAATACACATTGTTGAGTGTCACGCCTATACGCTTTGTCAAAATGACACAAAAATTGACACACACATGTAACTCAATAAGATCTACGAAAAAGTCAATGCGCGCGTATCTGTCAAATGTACGGTTAAAGGGTTATTCCGCATTTTTTGCCGATCCGCACACATTGGAATGTGGCTAACTCCTCCTAAGGCTTTCGTTCCACCGGCACCACATTTGCTCAGGCCAATCTACACCCCATGGCCATTAAAAGTTATTCAAATCATGACGCTGCACCCCACGGTTTAGGTTCTAGGGGGCGCCAAAGATAACCCTAAAATCCACATATTTAAAAGTCTTATAACTTTTTATTTTTGTCCTCACTGGCCTCCAAGTTTTCTAGGATGATGCAATGTCCAGCCATCAACATTTTTGTGAAGGAATTTTTACTCCCCAAAAGAGCGCCCCCCCATGGCAGGAGAAAAAAGTCAATTTTTTCTTGTCCCCTAAGGTGAAAATTCACATTGTTGAGTGTGACACCTGTACGCTTTGTCATATTGACACAAAATTTGACAATCACGTGTATCTCAATAAGATCTAAGAAAAAGTCAATGCACGCGTATCTGTCAAATGTACGGTTAAAGGGCTATTCCGCATATTTTGCCGATCTGCACACATTGGAATTTCGCTAACTCCTCCGAAGGCTTTCGTTCCACCGGCACCACATTTGCTCAGGCCAATCTACACCCCATGGCCATTAAAAGTTATTCAAATCATGACGCTGCACCCCACGGTTTACGTTCTAGGGGGCGCCAAAGATGACCAAAATATACACATTTTTTGAAGTCTTATAACTTTTTATTTTTGTCCTCACTGGCCTTTTGTCCCACTGACACCAAATTTGCTCAGGCCAATCTACACCCCATGGCCATTCAAAGTTGTACAAATCATGACGCTGCACCCCACAGACAACCATGAAGCTCCATCCAAACCTGAAGCAGGCAGTTGGTGCATGTGTACAGTACCCTGAGGGGAGTGAGGTGACTGCTTCTGAGGAGAACATGAGCAGTGAAGATTCACCTTGGAGCTAGAACAGAGACGTGCACATGATTATACAGGGGCAGGGGCTCAAGTTTTTTCCAGTCGTTTATACAATATGGAAATTAATGTGAAATTAAAAAACAAAGTATTAATAGAAAGGTAATGACTGTCCTGTGTAGGTGACAGTGATATCCAATAGGCTAGGCACTCACGAGGCTGGCTGTGGCAAGTGTAAGTGAAAGCAACACACACTGGCAGGAAGAACAGCAAACGCCGATGAAGGAAAAGGGTCTTTGCAGTGATGGGCGTTACCAGAGAGGGCGATGGCCAGAGGCCAAGAATGGGATGGGGAGGCAGCACGTTGGGGGGGGGGGGGGGGGCGCAACACGGCTCGGGCCCGCCAGTGTCCTAACGGGGCCCTAGTTAGGGCCCAAGCCAGCTGCAGAGCAGCCGGGCGTAGAGCCCTGTTGTTCCTGTAGTGGTTTTTCTTTGTTTCTTTTTAGGGCCCGAGCGTAGCTGCTAAGCAGCTGCGAGAGCCCTCTTGTTCCTGATGGATTCTTCTTTTGTTATTATTATTATTATTATTATTATTATTATTTTTCCTCCCCTTTGAAGGGGAAAATGGCCCACTTCCCACTGGCGAAAACTCATGAAATTTGGCAGGACGACCGGGCCTGGTGAAAAATTCGATATTCTGAAGTCGCCCAAACAATAAAATGCAAAATGGCTCCATAGCGCCCCCTAAGGTGAAAATTCACACTATTGACTGTCACGCCTTTACGCTTTGTCATATTGACAAAAAAAATTGACACACACATGTATCTCAATAAGATCTACAAAAAAGTCAGTGCGGGCGTATCTGTCAAATGTACGGTTAAAGGGTTATTTCGCATTTTTTGCCGATCCGCACACATTGGAATTTCGCTAACTCCTCCGAAGGCTTTCGTTCCAACGGCACCACATTTGCTCAGGCCAATCTACACCCCATGGCCATTAAAAGTTATTCAAATCATGACGCTGCACCCCACGGTTTAGGTTCTAGGGGCCGCCAAAGACAACCCTAAAATCCACATTCTTAAAAGTCTTATAACTTTTTATTTTTGCCCTCACTGGCCTCCAAGTTTTCTAGGATGATGCAATGTCCAGCCATCAACACATTTGTGAAGGAATTTTTACTCCCCAAAAGAGCGCCCCCCCATGGCAGGAGAAAAAAGTCCATTTTTTCTTGTCCCCTAAGGTGAAAATACATATTGTTGAGATTCACGCCTATACGCTTTGTCATATTGACACAAAATTTGACAATCACGTGCCTTGCCTGGTATCATTTTTTTTCAGCACAACCTCACCTGTGCGAATTTACAGTTATTTTATCATGTTGACATACTGAATTTACACAATGGACCCAAATTCACACACAAAACATAAAATCCGAGTGGAAAAAAGTAACATTTTTACTGTGAAAACCACAAATATGTGTGATGAACTGTTTTTAAAACTTAAACTTCAAATAAAAATTGTAAACTTCAAAACATATGCAAATTTTTAACAAAGAACATAGTGATTTACCTCTATTTACATCAAAATGCAGGCAATGGCCCAGGCGTTCTTTGTAAAATTATTTACAAAACACTGTATAGTCTCACAAATGTCACTTTTTATTTATGCCACTACAAAAAAACATGATGTAAATGATGCATGATGTAAAACATGATGTAAAAAACTTGTGTAGATCCTCCTCTATGTCAGTCCATGTGTAATTTTTCCATAATTCTTTGATTTTTGCAGCATTTTTGTTAGTGTAACTGCAGATTGTGCTGACAGTGTCTATGGCACAAAAAAAAAAAAATTAAAATGCCTCAACATGAACCCCTGGTGGTCTCTGAGGGTGAAACCTGCTAACTGCTGCAGCTCTGTCAGCTTCAGTCTCCCATGCAGAGCTCTGAGCGCATGTGTGGCTCTGCACCCTTAGCAGCGTTGCTAACTCCTCAGTAAGGAAAGCCTGCTTCATGTCAGAGTCTCTAAACTCCAGAAGAAGTCGATAAAAGTCCCTTTCTTTCTAAAAAAAAGTCGTTAGGGGGTCTGAAAAGTCATTGAATCTAACAACAAAGTCGCTAGGTTTGCAACTACGTGTCCCAGACTGCATCCCTGCTGAGAGTCCCTCCCTCCCTTCTCATGTTGCAGGAAGAACGTAAGCGCCCGCCCCTTGTCAATCAGTCACCATATAATTTTGGATTGGTTGTTGTGGTGAAGTTTTCCACCAATAGGAGAGATGTTGTGGTGTGTTTTTTTTTTTCTTTTGGCAAGCCTTTTCCGCCTGTAAGACCTGTCGCTAATGTCTGCATGCTATGTTTTCCTGTCTCATACAGCGCGATCGAGCGCCGAACGTGATCAAAATAAGCAGAAAAAAAGTATCGCGGACATAATTTATCATAACTCTGGTTTTATTTGGCCTATCAACACAATTTAAAAACTGGTATATAGGTTGAGGTCCTCACTTTTGAGATAAGTTGAAACGGAGAGTCAACGAGGCTCCGTCTTGCAGCTACATCCGGTTAAATATGTCATGTGACTTGAACGCACACACAGACACACACACACGCACACACACACACACACACACACACACACACACACTCAGAGTCTGGTTTTTAGCACCTGCAAAAACATGCTATTTACATATTTGACAAGAATGCAGAGGCTCCTTTTGCCCCTGAAAAAAATCAAATTTCAAACACAACTTGACTGGTCATTTCTCCAAAAGACAACCATGAAGCTCCATCCAAACCTGAAGCAGGCAGTTGGTGCATGTGTACAGTAACCTGAGGGGAGTGAGGTGAGTGCTTCTGAGGAGAACATGAGCAGTGAAGATTCACCTTGGAGCTAGAACAGAGACATGCACATGATTATACAGGGGCAGGGGCTCAAGTTTTTTCCAGTCGTTTATACAATATGGAAATTAATGTGAAATTAAAACACAAAGTATTAATAGAAAGGTAATGACTGTCCTGTGTAGGTGACAGTGATATCGAATAGGCTAGGCACTCACGAGGCTGGCTGTGGCAAGTGTAAGTGAAAGCAACACACACTGGCAGGAAGAACAGCAAACGCCGATAAAGGAAAAGGGTCTTTGCAGTGATGGGCGTTACCAGAGAGGGCGATGGCCAGAGGACACAAATGGGACGGGGAGGCAGCACGTTGGGGGGGGGGGGGGGGGGGCGACACAGCTCGGGCCCGCCAGTGCCCCAACGGGGTCCTAGTTCTTTCTTTCTTTTCCTCCCCTTTGAACTGGAAAATGGCCCACTTCCCACTGGCGAAAACTCATGAAATTTGGCAGGACGACCGGGCCTGGTGAAAAATTCGATATTCTGAAGTCGCCCAAACAATAAAATGCAAAATGGCTCCATAGCGCCCCCTAAGGTGGAAATTCACACTATTGACTGTCACGCCTGTACGCTTTGTCATATTGACACAAAAATTGACACACATATGTATCTCAATAAGATCTACAAAAAAGTCAGTGCGGGCGTATCTGTCAAATGTACGGTTAAAGGGTTATTTCGCATTTTTTGCCGATCCGCACACATTGGAATTTCGCTAACTCCTCCGAAGGCTTTCGTTCCACCGGCACCACATTTGCTCAGGCCAATCTACACCCCATGGCCATTAAAAGTTATTCAAATCATGATGCTGCACCCCACGGTTTAGGTTCTAGGGGGCGCCAAAGATAACCCTATAATCCACATATTTAAAAGTCTTATAACTTTTTATTTTTGCCCTCACTGGCCTACAAGTTTTCTAGGATGATGCAATGTCCAGCCATCAACACATTTGTGAAGGAATTTTTACTCCCCAAAAGAGCGCCCCCCCATGGCAGGAGAAAAAAGTCCATTTTTTCTTGTCCCCTAAGGTGAAAATACACATTGTTGAGTGTCACGCCTGTACTCTTTGTCAAAATACCACAAAAATTGAAACACACATGTATCTCAATAAGATCTACAAAAAAGTCCACGCGCGCGTATCTGTCAAATGTACGGTTAAAGGGTTATTCCGCATTTTTTGCCAATTCGCACACATTGGAATTTCGCTAACTCCTCCGAAGGCTTTCGTTCCACCGGCACCACATTTGTTCAGGGCCAAATTACACCCCATGGCCATTAAAAGTTTTTTAAATCATGACGCTGCACCCCACGGTTTACGTTCTAGGGGGCGCCAAAGATAACCCAAAAATCCACATTTTTAAAAGTCTTATAACTTTTTATTTTTGTCCTCACTGGCCTCCAAGTTTTCTAGGATGATGCAATGTCCAGCCATCAACACATTTGTGAAGGAATTTTTACTCCCCAAAAGAGCGCCCCCCCATGGCAGGAGAAAAAAGTCCATTTTTTCTTGTCCCCTAAGGTGAAAATACACATTGTTGAGTGTCACGCCTGTACTCTTTGTCAAAATACCACAAAAATTGAAACACACATGTATCTCAATAAGATCTACAAAAAAGTCCACGCGCGCGTATCTGTCAAATGTACGGTTAAAGGGTTATTCCGCATTTTTTGCCAATTCGCACACATTGGAATTTCGCTAACTCCTCCGAAGGCTTTCGTTCCACCGGCACCACATTTGTTCAGGGCCAAATTACACCCCATGGCCATTAAAAGTTTTTTAAATCATGACGCTGCACCCCACGGTTTACGTTCTAGGGGGCGCCAAAGATAACCCAAAAATCCACATTTTTAAAAGTCTTATAACTTTTTATTTTTGTCCTCACTGGCCTCCAAGTTTTCTAGGATGATGCAATGTCCAGCCATCAACACATTTGTGAAGGAATTTTTACTCCCTAAAAGAGCGCCCCCCCATGGCAGGAGAAAAAAGTCCATTTTTTCTTGTCCCCTAAGGTGAAAATACACATTGTTGACTGTCACGCCTTTACGCTTTGTCATATTGACAAAAAATTTGACAATCACGTGTATCTCAATAAGATCTATGAAAAAGTCAATGGGCACGTAAGTGTAAAATGTACAGTTAAAGGGCTATTTTGCATTTTTTGGCGATTCGCACACATTGGAATTTCGCTAAGTCCTCCTAAGGCTTTCGTCCCACTGACACCAAATTTGCTCAGGCCAATCTACACTCCATGGCCATTCAAAGTTGTAAAAATCATGACGCTGCACCCCACGGTTTACGTTTTAGGGTGCGCCAAAGATGACCCAAATATACATTACAGTAGACAAAGTAGTTTTGCCCACTGAGTGGCGCCAAAGGGACTTGTCTGTGGAGTCTGTGAGTCACTATTGGCCGTTTTTGACTACTTTAGATTTTACCTTTATATTTCCTCTTACAAAATTTTTAACCTTGCCTTGCCTGGTATCATTTTTTTCAGCACAACCTCACCTGTGTCAATTTACAGTTATTTTATCATTTTGACATACTATATTTACACATTGGACCCAAATTCACACACAAAACATAAAATCCGAGTGGAAAAAAGTAACGTTTTTACTGTGAAAACCACAAATATGTGTGATGAACTGTTTTTAAAACTTTAACTTCAAATAAAAATTGTAAACTTCAAAACATATGCAAATTTTTAACAAAGAACATAGTGATTTACCTCTATTTACATCAAAATGCAGGCAATGGCCCAGGTGTTCTTTGTAAAATTATTTACAAAACACTGTATAGTCTCACAAATCTCACTTTTTATTTATGCCACTACAAAAAAACATGATGTAAATGATGCATGATGTAAAACATGATGTAAAAAACTTGTGTAGATCCTCCTCTATGTTAGTCCATGTGTAATTTTTCCATAATTCTTTGTTTTTTGCAGCATTTTTGTTAGTGTAACTGCAGATTGTGCTGACAGTGTCTATGGCAAAAAAAAAAAAAAAAAAACTGAAAATGCCTCAACATGAACCCCTGGTGGTCTCTGAGGGTGAAACCTGCTAACTGCTGCAGCTCTGTCAGCTTCAGTCTCCCATGCAGAGCTCGGAGCGCATGTGTGGCTCTGCACCCTTAGCAGCGTTGCTAACTCCTCAGTAAGGAAAGCCTGCTTCATGTCAGAGTCTCTAAACTCCAGAACTCCAGAAGAAGTCGATAAAAGTCCCTTTCTTTCTAAAAAAAAGTCATTAGGGGGTCTGAAAAGTCATTGAATCTAACAACAAAGTCGCTAGGTTTGAAACTACGTGTCCCAGACTGCATCCCTGCTGAGAGTCCCTCCTCCCTCCTTCTCAAGTTGCAGGAAGAACGCGAGCGCCCATCCCGTGTCAATCAGTCACCATATAATTTTGGATTGGTTGTTGTGGTGAAGTTTTCCACCAATAGGAGAGATGTTGTGGTGTGTTTTTTTCTTTTCTTTTGGCAAGTCTTTTCCGCCTGTAAGAGCTGTCGCTAATGTCTGCATGCTATGTTTTCCTGTCTCATACAGCGCGATCGAGCGCCGAACGTGATCAAAATAAGCAGAAAAAAAGTATTGCGGACATAATTTATCATAACTCTGGTTTTATTTGGCCTATCAACACAATTTAAAAACTGGTATATAGTTTGAGGTCCTCACTTTTAAGATAGGTTGAAACGGAGAATCAACGAGGCTCCGTCTTGCAGCTACATCCGGTTAAATATGTCATGTGACTTGAACGCTGGGGAGCGTCAATCGAATCGAATCAAACCTAACTCTCAGATGAATCTTCAAAATTCACCTCAGAAATATGCTTATTATTCTTCTCAGAGTACTGCAGGATACACACACACACGCACACACACTCAGAGTCTGTTTTTTAGCACCTGCAAACACATGCTATTTACATATTTGACAAGAATGCAGAGGCTTTCTTTTGCCTCTGAAAAAAATCAAATTTCAAACACAACTTGACTGGTCATTTCTCCAAAAGACAACCATGAAGCTCCATCCAAACCTGAAGCAGGCAGTTGGTGCATGTGTACAGTAACCTGAGGGGAGTGAGGTGACTGCTTCTGAGGAGAACATGAGCAGTGAAGATTCACCTTGGAGCTAGAACAGGGACGTGCACATGATTATACAGGGGCAGGGGCTCAAGTTTTTTCCAGTCGTTTATACAATATGGAAATTAATGTGAAATTAAAAAACAAAGTATTAATAGAAAGGTAATGACTGTCCTGTGTAGGTGACAGTGATATCCAATAGGCTAGGCACTCACGAGGCTGGCTGTGGCAAGTGTAAGTGAAAGCAACACGCACTGGCAGGAAGAACAGCAAACGCCAATGAAGGAAAAGGGTCTTTGCAGTGATGGGCGTTACCAGAGAGGGCGATGGCCAGAGGACGCGAATGGGACGGGGAGGCAGCGCGTTGGGGGGGGCGCGACACGGCTCGGGCCCGCCAGTGCCCCAACGGGGCCCTAGTTAGGGCCCGAGCGTAGCTGCTAAGCAGCTGCGAGAGCCCTCTTGTTCCTGTAGTTTCCTTCTTTTGTTATTATTATTATTTTTCCTCCCCTTTGAACTGGAAAATGGCCCACTTCCCACTGGCGAAAACTCATGAAATTTGGCAGGACGACCGGGCCTGGTGAAAAATTTGATATTCCGAAGTCGCCCAAACAAGAAAATGCAAAATGGCTCCATAGCGCCCCCTAAGGTGAAAATTCACACTATTGACTGTCACGCCGGTACACTTTGTCATATTGACACAAAATTTGACACACACATGTATCTCAATAAGATTTACAAAAAAGTCAGTGCGGGCGTATCTGTAAAATGTACGGATAAAGGGTTATTTCGCATTTTTTGCCGATCCGCACACATTGGAATTTCGCTAACTCCTCCGAAGGCTTTCGTTCCACCGGCACCACATTTGCTCAAGCCAATCTACACCCCATGGCCATTAAAAGTTATTCAAATCATGACGCTGCACCCCACGGTTTAGGTTCTAGGGGGCGCCAAAGATAACCCTAAAATCCACATATTTAAAAGTCTTATAACTTTTTATTTTTGCCCTCACTGGCCTCCAGGTTTTCTAGGATGATGCAATGTCCAGCCATCAACACATTTGTGGAGGAATTTTTACTCCCCAAAAGAGCGCCCCCCCATGGCAGGAGAAAAAAGTCCATTTTTTCTTGTCCCCTAAGGTGAAAATACACATTGTTGAGTGTCACGCCTGTACGCTTTGTCAAAATGACACAAAAATTGACACACACATGTATCTCAATAAGATCTACAAAAAAGTCAATGCGCGCGTATCTGTCAAATGTACAGTTAAAGGGTTATTCCGCATTTTTTGCCGATACGCACACATTGGAATTTCGCTAACTCCTCCGAAGGCTTTCGTTCGACCGGCACCACATTTGCGCAGGCCAATCTACCCCCCATGGCCATTAAAAGTTGTACAAATCATGACGCTGCACCCCACGGTTTACGTTCTAGGGGGCGCCAAAGATAACCCAAAATCCACATTCTTAAAAGTCTTATAACTTTTTATTTTTGTCCTCACTGCCCTCCAAGTTTTCTAGGATGATGCAATGTCCAGCCATCAACACATTTGTGAAGGAATTTTTACTCCCCAAAAGAGCGCCCCCCCATGGCAGGAGAAAAAAGTCAATTTTTTCTTGTCCCCTTACATGAAAATACACATTGTTGAGTGTCACGCCTGAACGCTTTGTCATATTGACACAAAAATTGACAATCATGTGTATCTCAATTAGATCTACGAAAAAGTCAGAAAGCGCGTATCTGTATAATGTACGGTTAAAGGGCTATTTCGCATTTTTTGCCGATCCGCACACATTGGAATTTCGCTAACTCCTCCGAAGGCTTTCGTTCCAAAGGCACCACATTTGCTCAGGCCAATCTACACCCCATGGCCATTAAAAGTTGTACAAATTATGACGCTGCACCCCACGGTTTACGTTCTAGGGGGCGCCAAAGATAACCCAAAAATCCACAGTCTTAAAAGTCTTATAACTTTTTATTTTTGTCCTCACTGGCCTCCAAGTTCTCTAGGATGATGCAATGTCCAGCCATCAACACATTTGTGAAGGAATTTTTACTCGCCAAAAGAGCGCCCCCCCATGGCAGGAGAAAAAAGTCCATTTTTTCTTGTCTCCTAAGGCGAAAATTCACACTATTGACTGTCACGCCTTTACGCTTTGTCATATTGACACAAAAATTGACACACACATGTATCTCAATAAGATCTACAAAAAAGTCAGTGCGGGCGTATCTGTCAAATGTACGGTTAAAGGGCTATTTCGCATTTTTTGCCGATCCGCACACATTGGAATTTCGCTAACTCCTCCGAAGGCTTTCGTTCCAAAGGCACCACATTTGCTCAGGCCAATCTACACCCCATGGCCATTAAAAGTTGTACAAATCATGACGCTGCACCCCACGGTTTACGTTCTAGGGGGCGCCAAAGATAACCCAAAAATCCACAGTCTTAAAAGTCTTATAACTTTTTATTTTTGTCCTCACTGGCCTCCAAGTTCTCTAGGATGATGCAATGTCCAGCCATCAACACATTTGTGAAGGAATTTTTACTCGCCAAAAGAGCGCCCCCCCATGGCAGGAGAAAAAAGTCCATTTTTTCTTGTCTCCTAAGGCGAAAATACACATTGTTGACTGTCACGCCTTTACGCTTTGTCAAAATGACACAAAATTTGACACACACATGTATCTCAATAAGATCTACGAAAAAGTCAGTGCGGGCGTATCTGTCAAATGTACGGTTAAAGGGCTATTTCGCATTTTTTGCCGATCCGCACACATTGGAATTTCGCTAACTCCTCCGAAGGCTTTCGTTCCAAAGGCACCACATTTGCTCAGGCCAATCTACACCCCATGGCCATTAAAAGTTGTACAAATCATGACGCTGCACCCCACAGTTTACGTTCTAGGGGGCGCCAAAGATAACCCAAAAATCCACAGTCTTAAAAGTCTTATAACTTTTTATTTTTGTCCTCACTGGCCTCCAAGTTCTCTAGGATGATGCAATGTCCAGCCATCAACACATTTGTGAAGGAATTTTTACTCGCCAAAAGAGCGCCCCCCCATGGCAGGAGAAAAAAGTCCATTTTTTCTTGTCTCCTAAGGCGAAAATACACATTGTTGACTGTCACGCCTTTACGCTTTGTCAAAATGACACAAAATTTGACACACACATGTATCTCAATAAGATCTACGAAAAAGTCAATGCGAGCGTATCTGTTCAATGTACGGTTAAAGGGCTATTTCGCATTTTTTGCCGATTCGCACACATTGGAATGTGGCTAACTCCTCCTAAATCTTTTGTCCCATCGGCTTCAAATTTGCTCAGGTCAATCTACACCCCATGGCCATTCAAAGTTGTACAAATCATGACGCTGCACCCCACAGTTTACGTTCTAGGGGGCGCCAAAGAGGACCCAAATATCCACATTTTTAAAAGTCTTATAACTTTTTATTTTTGTCCTCACTGGCCTCCAAGTTTTCTAGGATGATGCAATGTCCAGCCATCAACACATTTGTGAAGGAATTTTTTCTCCCCAAAAGAGCGCCCCCCATGGCAGGAGAAAAAGTCAAGTTTTTCCTGCCCATCGCTCAATGGCTCAAACGCATCGCTCTCTCGGCAAAACCGAAAGGAGGAGCAACTTGCCATTTGGATATATACTAGCTGTGTTTGTGCCCTCACTCATGGTCCAGACTTTTTTCAAAAAGGACATGGAGTTTGTCTGCAGCGAGCGTTTTGGTAGAAACTTCGCCTCCCATTCATTATAATGGTAAATGACCACAGACAAGTGCGCACACCATCTTTGGACCTTGAGTGTGACGCGATCGGGAGGGGTAGGCGGTCGCGCTGGGGGCGGCGCGACACGGCTCGGGCCCGCCAGTGCCCCAACGGGGCCCTAGTTTCTTCTTTTTCCTCCCCTTTGAACTGGAAAATGGCCCACTTCCCACTGGCGAAAACTCATGAAATTTGGCAGGACGACCGGGCCTGGTGAAAAATTTGATATTCTGAAGTCGCCCAAACAATAAAATGCAAAATGGCTCCATAGCACCCCCTAAGGTGGAAATTCACACTATTGACTGTCACGCCTGTACGCTTTGTCATATTGACACAAAAATTGACACACATATGTATCTCAATAAGATCTACAAAAAAGTCAGTGCGGGCGTATCTGTCAAATGTACGGTTAAAGGGTTATTTCGCATTTTTTTTCCGATCCGCACACATTGGAATTTCGCTAACTCCTTCGAAGGCTTTCGTTCCACCGGCACCACATTTGCTCAGGCCAATCTACACCCCATGGCCATTAAAAGTTATTCAAATCATGACGCTGCACCCCACGGTTTGGGTTTTAGGGGGCGCCAAAGATAACCCTAAAATCCACATATTTAAAAGTCTTATAACTTTTTATTTTTGTCCTCACTGGCCTCCGAGTTTTTTTAGGATGATGCAATGTCCAGCCATCAACACATTTGTGAAGGAACTTTTACTCCCCAAAAGAGCGCCCCCCCCATGGCAGGAGAAAAAAGTCAATTTTTTCTTGTTGCCTAAGGTGAAAATACACATTGTTGAGTGTCACGCCTGTACGCTTTGTCAAAATGACACAAAAATTGACACACACATGTATCTCAATAAGATCTACGAAAAAGTCAATGCGCGCGTATCTGTCAAATGTACGGTTAAAGGTTTATTCCGCATTTTTTGCCGATTCGCACACATTGGAATGTGGCTAACTCCTCCGAAGGCTTTCGTTCCACCGGCACCACATTTGCTCAGGCCAATCTACACCCCATGGCCATTCAGTTATTCAAATCATGACGCTGCACCCCACGGTTTACGTTCTAGGGGGCGCCAAAGATAACCCTAAAATCCACATATTTAAAAGTCTTATAACTTTTTATTTTTGTCCTCACTGGCCTCCAAGTTTTCTAGGATGATGCAATGTCCAGCCATCAACACATTTGTGAAGGAATTTTTACTCCCCAAAAGAGCGCCCCCCCATGGCAGGAGAAAAAATTCCATTTTTTCTTGTCCCCTAAGGTGAGAATACATATTGTTGAGATTCACGCCTATACGCTTTGTCATATTGACACAAAATTTGACAATCACGTGTATCTCAATAAGATCTACGAAAAAGTCAATGGGCGCGTATCTGTCAAATGTACGGTTAAAGGGCTATTTTGCATTTTTTGCCGATTCGCACACATTGGAATGTGGCTAAATCCACCTAAGGCTTTCGTCCCACTGACACCAAATTTGCTCAGGCCAATCTACACCCCATGGCCATTCAAAGTTGTAAAAATCATGACACTGCACCCCACGGTTCACGTTCTAGGGGGCGCCAAAGATGACCCAAAAATCCACATTCTTCAAAGTCGTTTTGGCCACTGAGCGGCGCCAAAGGGACTTGTCTATGGAGTCTGGGAGTCACTATTGGCCGTTTTTGACTACTTTAGATTTTACCTTTATATTTCCTCTATTTCCTCAGCACAACCTCACCTGTGTGAATTCACAGTTATTTTATCATTTTGACATACTGTATTTACACAATGGACCCAAATTCACACACAAAACATAAAATCCGAGTGGAAAAAAGTAACATTTTTACTGTGAAAACCACAAATATGTGTGATGAACTGTTTTTAAAACTTAAACTTCAAATAAAAATTGTACACTTCAAAACATATGCAAATTTTTAACAAAGAACATAGTGATTTACCTCTATTTACATAAAAATGCAGGCAATGGCCCAGGCGTTCTTTGTAAAATTATTTACAAAACACTGTATAGTCTCACAAATCTCACTTTTTATTTATGCCACTACAAAAAAACATGATGTAAATGATGCATGATGTAAAACATGATGTAAAAAACTTGTGTAGATCCTCCTCTATGTCAGTCCATGTGTAATTTTTCCATAATTCTTTGTTTTTTGCAGCATTTTTGTTAGTGTAACTGCAGATTGTGCTGACAGTCTATGGCAAAAAAAAAAAAAAAACTGAAAATGCCTCAACATGAACCCCTGGTGGTCTCTGAGGGTGAAACCTGCTAACTGCTGCAGCTCTGTCAGCTTCAGTCTCCCATGCAGAGCTCGGAGCGCATGTGTGGCTCTGCACCCTTAGCAGCGTTGCTAACTCCTCAGTAAGGAAAGCCTGCTTCATGTCAGAGTCTCTAAACTCCAGAAGAAGTCGATAAAAGTCCCTTTCTTTCTAAGAAAAAATTGTTAGGGGGTCTGAGAAGTCATTGAATCTAACAACAAAGTCGCTAGGTTTGCAACTACGTGTCCCAGACTGCATCCCTGCTGAGAGTCCCTCCCTCCCTTCTCATGTTGCAGGAAGAACGTAAGCGCCCGCCCCTTGTCAATCAGTCACCATATAATTTTGGATTGGTTGTTGTGGTGAAGTTTTCCACCAATAGGAGAGATGTTGTGGTGTGTTTTTTTTTTCTTTTGGCAAGCCTTTTCCGCCTGTAAGACCTGTCGCTAATGTCTGCATGCTATGTTTTCCTGTCTCATACAGCGCGATCGAGCGCCGAACGTGATCAAAATAAGCAGAAAAAAAGTATCGCGGACATAATTTATCATAACTCTGGTTTTATTTGGCCTATCAACACAATTTAAAAACTGGTATATAGGTTGAGGTCCTCACTTTTGAGATAAGTTGAAACGGAGAGTCAACGAGGCTCCGTCTTGCAGCTACATCCGGTTAAATATGTCATGTGACTTGAACGCACACACAGACACACACACACACACACACACACACACACACACACACACACACACACACACACACACACACACACACACACACTCAGAGCAGCACCTGCCATGAAGACTGATGGTGGGTGTCATGAATTTACTAATGTGGATGACTGTAATAAAGTAAACATGAATTAAAGTTAAAAACCATTAGTGTTTCATGGCGTCTTACTTCCAGGTTACAATTCATTTTATTTTGACCATAATAGCGGATCTTCACCTCTGAATGCATCTGTCACATTCAATTTAACGGAATATTAAGTAACTGTAATGACTTACGGGTGTTAAAACTGCGGCCTGTATAGATGACAACGGCCGGGCGCGAGAGACCCTCAACGGCCGGCCGTTTACGGCCGTTGAGGGTCTCTCGCGTCCGGCCGTTGAGGATCTCTCGCGCCCGGCCGTTGAGGTTGTCCAGCGGTTGTCCAGCGGTCGTCCAGCGGTTGTCCAGCTGTCGTCCAGCCACTTGGAGCGGAGAAACAACTGCTAAACTCGGTTATTTTGAGAGTACTACATATCTGCCAGGTGAGTAACCTACTTCTCGCCGGTATTTAACATTTTTGAGCAGTTTCTGTCACGAATCCCTTCATATAACTCCGTCTTGTTTTCGCTATGTGAATGTTGGTGTGGGGAAATCCGAGCCATAACGCAAATGTACAGCTGACTTGTAGCTACTTCAGAAGCGCTGTCCGAACTATCAAATGCCAGATAATGACATAGAGGCATTTGGCCCAACGTTATCTCATTGTTTTTCTGTACTTAGGGCCCGAGCCAGCTGCAGAGCAGCCGGGCGTAGAGCCCTATTATTCCTGTATAGGTTTTTCTTTCTTCTTTCTTTCTTTCTTTCTTCTTATTTTTCCTCCCCTTTGAAGGGGAAAATGGCCCACTTCCCACTGGCGAAAACTCATGAAATTTGGCAGGACGAATGGGCCTGGTGAAAAATTCGATATTCTGAAGTCGCCCAAACAATAAAATGCAAAATGGCTCCATAGCGCCCCCTAAGGTGAAAATTCACACTATTGACTGTCACGCCTTTACGCTTTGTAATATTGACACAAAAATTGACACACACATGTATCTCAATAAGATCTACAAAAAAGTCAGTGCGGGCGTATCTGTCAAATGTACGGTTAAAGGGTTATTTCGCATTTTTTGCCGATCCGCACACATTGGAATTTCGCTAACTCCTCCGAAGGCTTTCGTTCCACCGGCACCACATTTGCTCAGGCCAATCTACACCCCATGGCCATTAAAAGTTGTACAAATCATGACGCTGCACCCCACGGTTTACGTTCTAGGGGGCGCCAAAGATAACCCAAAAATCCACAGTCTTAAAAGTCTTATAACTTTTTATTTTTGTCCTCACTGGCCTCCAAGTTCTCTAGGATGATGCAATGTCCAGCCATCAACACATTTGTGAAGGAATTTTTACTCGCCAAAAGAGCGCCCCCCATGGCAGGAGAAAAAAGTCCATTTTTTCTTGTCTCCTAAGGCGAAAATTCACACTATTGACTGTCACGCCTTTACGCTTTGTCATATTGACACAAAAATTGACACACACATGTATCTCAATAAGATCTACGAAAAAGTCAATGCGAGCGTATCTGTTCAATGTACGATTAAAGGGCTATTTCGCATTTTTTGCCGATTCGCACACATTGGAATGTGGCTAACTCCTCCTAAATCTTTTGTCCCATCGGCTTCAAATTTGCTCAGGTCAATCTACACCCCATGGCCATTCAAAGTTGTACAAATCATGACGCTGCACCCCACAGTTTACGTTCTAGGGGGCGCCAAAGAGGACCCAAATATCCACATTTTTAAAAGTCTTATAACTTTTTATTTTTGTCCTCACTGGCCTCCAAGTTTTCTAGGATGATGCAATGTCCAGCCATCAACACATTTGTGAAGGAATTTTTACTCCCCAAAAGAGCGCCCCCCCATGGCAGGAGAAAAAGTCAAGTTTTTCCTGCCCATCGCTCAATGGCTCAAACGCATCGCTCTCTCGGCAAAACCGAAAGGAGGAGCAACTTGCCATTTGGATATATACTAGCTGTGTTTGTGCCCTCACTCATGGTCCAGACTTTTTTCAAAAAGGACATGGAGTTTGTCTGCAGCGAGCGTTTTGGTAGAAACTGCGCCTCCCATTCATTATAATGGTAAATGACCACAGACAAGTGCGCACACCATCTTTGGACCTTGAGTGTGACGCGATCGGGAGGGGTAGGCGGTCGCGCTGGGGGTGGCGCGACACGGCTCGGGCCCGCCAGTGCCCCAACGGGGCCCTAGTTTTTATTGTTTTTCATACAATTGCTAGTAACGATGCTTACAGATTCAATTACCTAAATGTTAACCGATATGTCCGTTGGCTGATAACGGTCACTTCGTTCACTACAGCAAGTCTAAACTACTTAACAGTAGCTTCAACTAAAGTAAAAATTAAAGTTAAAAACCATTAGTGTTTCATGGCGTCTTACTTCCAGGTTACAATTCATTTTATTTTGACCATAATAGCGAATCTTCACCTCTGAATGCATCTGTCACATTCAATTTAACGGAATATTGAGTAACTGTAATGACTTACGGGTGTTAAAACTGCGGCCTGTATAGATGACAACGGCCGGGCGCGAGAGACCCTCAACGGCCGACCGTTTATGGCCGTTGAGGGTGTAAGGGTGTTTCAATTACCCTTACATTATAGACCCCCCGTGGGTCTCACCGCCTAAGTCAACAGCGTGAGCACAATAACGATTATGAATACCATTACAATTATATCTGCATCAATAATGTTATTGTGGTCAACTGCGTTACCACAATAACGTTATGAAACGATATCTACAGCTAATGCGATTCTGTATCTATAGCTAATGCTAAAGTTAGTAGATAACGGTTATGCTACTAGCAGCAACGGGTCTAGTACAAAACTACGTTAACACCAGTCAGTTCACACTCTGTAAGAGGCCTATGTTATTCGATCGTTAGCTGCAGCGTGCAATCATCTGAACGTTTTAACTCTGTCCCCGCATTAGAATAGTTTATAAATATATCCTCTCACGGACTTTCACAAAACACCGGCCCCGGCCGCCATGCTTGCGTTTACTCCTCCTGGACCGGATGTTTTCATCTTTACTTTCTTCTGCTGCTATTTGCGCTTGGCAAACAGCTTGCCGTCGCATTACCGCCAACTATTGATCGGGGATAGTAACTACAGTCTGTATTATTTCTTCTGAGTACAATTCTTCACCCCTGCTCAGTTTAACAGGAAAAATGTATTTAAATGTGATTTCTGATGATGCAGCATTATGATGGCCATTGACACAGTTTTTCTCTTTTTTTCAGGATGTCTCTGCGTAAAATTTTTTCAGAGGACGCACCAACACACCAAAGCTTTCCACCGGTGAAAGTAAAAGTGGTTGCCCTGCACACAAGGACCACAGTGTCAAACTGGGTTTTTGACAAGGGGGAGGCTCACCCTCTTGTCAAGCATACCAACTGCACTGCTGCCATTAGCGATGGTGTTGCAGTGGTCAAATTCACTGCGTTTCAGGGAATAGCAGCCAAACTCAGTGAGGGAGGAAGCTATATAATCAGAAATTATGGCATGTCAAAGTATGGCAGTACACGTACCATGTTGTCCCGACGTGATACTGCAGTGTATCACACCTCCCAGATCGAAGTCCCAGCCCACCTCGTGGAGGAAGGCAAACACATGGTGTGCCCTCCATCCCCATTCAAACACATCAATGACATTGAAGGAGAGACTGACACTCTCTTCACTGTTGAGGGCTGTGTCACAGAAGTAAGCATCTCATTATCACTGCTGATGATATGGTGACCCTTGGGGGGGGGGGGGGGGGGGGGTATCATGCTTTTCAAAATTTACAACAAAAACTGCAAAGTTACAAAGTTTGGTGCCCATACTATATGCTTGCTAAGTTTCAGATCACAAGGTCAACGTGTGTTGTCATACTGTCAGAAAAAAAGACGTTTACTGCTCAAATCTCAGACAAACAAGCGAATATGCAAGATTGTGGTGTATGTGCGAGATTTACTAAAATTCAGATGTACAATGATATGTTAACACACCACTGTGAGAAATTTGAGGCCTATTTTGATCTGAAAATTATGTAAAGCTATTCAAGAGGTATCAGAGAAGGAGTCTGTCAAAATGCATGACACCCCCTCTTTAATGCCGTACACAACAGTACATTAATAATCAGTTAAGGGTATCAAAACCTCTCTGTGGTCTGTCCTATCCAGAGATCTGTTTTTGTATAGTTTATGTCTCCTGCTCTCCTTGGTTAAAAAGGCTTCTAAAATCAATGACTTGTAGCACACTATATCCGAATGTATTAAAATGTGTGTATCTTTGTGTTTAGATCAACAAAGTCAAGCAGGTACCTGGCCAGCGGGGCCAACCAGTCCCCATAATCGAGATCAAGATCAAAGAGGTAAAGAATAAGTCTAAATACAAAACTGACAGTAAAATATAAGCAGAATGAAGATTTAGGCAACGAGAGTTGTCAGTAAATACAATTCTTATGAGGCCTGTTTCATTATTACAGAAAGAGGCAGATGTCTGCCTCTGGCGAGAAGCGACATTGGCGGAACTGAGCTTGGGGAAACCTTGTCGCATCACCCACCTCAGGGTCAAGACCTCGGGCCAATATGGGTTCACACTGCACACCACAAGCTTCTCAAATGTTGAAGTAAGTCAAAGATGTACATACTGTGTAATTCACTGAACTGTTGTCTCCTTTATGATGAGCCTTTTGCTTCTAATCAAGTCAGATTGTTCTATGACGTCCACCTGTCCCCCACCATGACCACCAACTGCTTGTACATTGGAATTAGTTTCATTGGCAAAAAGCATATGAGCCTGCAAAATTGCTTCCTGATTATTTTTTTTTTTCAAGTTTTCTCCTCCCCCTGAGGAGGTGATGTAGTTAATTCTTCATTTGTTTGGACAATAGTTGTGTCACTACAGAAAATAAGAATCAGAACTCTGAGAAGAAAAACTGAACCTATACTCTGGACCAAAAATGATGGTGTGCACTGTGTAAAACATTTCTCCTCAACAGATGGTGACCAAGCACGTCCATATTGCCGTGGCGGGTTTCTCGTTCCACGAGGAAGATGAGTGTGTCAACATCCTGGATGACAGCTACGCTGAGTGGACTGTCCCACGCTGGATGTGGGACGAAAAATTTCCCGATGCCGTTACAAAAATGCCAGCAAGCGTTATCATCGCTTTTGAGGAGGGAGATGTGGTCGATATTTTATAAGTTTATTTATTTAATCTTTTTGTAAATAGTTGATCTTTAATCACATCATATACTCACAAAAATCCTTCAATCAGTTTAAATGTTTAATTTGTTCAGTGTTCAAAAAATCACTTCAATCAGTTTTAATGTTTATTAATTTGTTCATTGCTCAAAAAAATCGCTTCAATCAGTTTGAATGTTTATTAAATGGTTCAGTGTTACAAAAAAAAAAACCCACTTCAATCAGTTTTAATGTTTTTGATGTTTTGAATTTGTTCAGTGTTATTTCAAATGATACTTATGAAAAAATATTTAAATCAGTTATTAAAAAATGTTATACTATATGGATTCTGTTGTTGCTTCTTTCCATTTTCATGTCATACACTGACTCAAGTCTCAACAATGGCATTTTGTTTTTCAAAATGCCTCTGGCATGAATACAATCCCAAGGCTCAGGTAAATTGACATCAACATTACCGACGGTTTTCTCACACAATATAAATATCTAAACATATGACAATGTGTTAAGAAACAGAAACCAGGTGTCCAGAGCAGAACAGCTCTGTTGAGGAAACAGGAAAAATTTGCTGGTGCTGCAGTTTTTAACCAGCTGACCATTTTGCAAAGCAGGATTAAATGGTTAACCAGAGAAGTCTGTACAGTTGTCGGGAAATAATTTTATAGCTGAATTTGAATTACAATAGGTATTATATGTTTCAGTGAAGAATTATAGTTCTATGATAACACACAAAATTATCAGAGTTTTAAGGGGGGCAGTCGACTATTTTAGGCCAAAATATCTGGTGCTGCACGAGACAGACCATTTCACAACAAAGACAAATTAGTGCAAATTAAAACTTGGTAACTGAGGCATAGGGAGGTAAACAATACACTCCATTCATTTCTGTGCTACCTGGCTGGTGAAGCAGGAGAGGAGACGTGTGTGCTGCACCTCTGTACATGTTCTTCCATAAGCAGGAGCAATACGGGGAGAACAAGCAAATGCCCCAACCTGCTCCAAAAAATGACAACTGTTCATTACTTACTAATTACTTATTACTTACTTAATACTTACCTGAGACCTGCTGATACTTACCTGGTATCTGCTGCTACCTAACCCGCTGTCACCTTCAGCACCATGGACAGCGCCATGTAAAGTGCTGGGACAGGGCGCATGTTCGCGGCTGAAAGGGTGTCAGACCTCATGGCCATTCATGCATTATTCAATTCTTCAAAATTTTTCAATTCATTCAAACTAATTCAGACCTTTGTGATACTTCAAACCTTTCCAATCCTTTAAGATTTTTGATTATTTTCATTTTCCCTGTTTTATATCATTTTCACTGTTCATACATCATTCCATTCTTCAAACAAATTCAAACTCAATCAAACTTAATCAAACTGATTCAAACTTTCTGAGTCTTCAAACCTTTTTCATACTTCAGGATTTTAAATCATTTCAATTATCCACACATTGAAATTTTTTATTATTCATACACTACTGTATGATTTCATTCAGTTCATTCAAATTGATTCTAACCTTCCTGATACTTCAAACCTTCTTGTCCTTGGCGTATTTTCAAGATTCAGCCATTCGCAATAGCAGCTTAGCGATAGCAATTTCAACCGGAGCAATCCCACTCGCAATTTCTTCAGAAATTGCATTTTCTAGTTATTATTATTATTATAGCAACTTCCACCGTTTTTTGGACCTCAACTACTTCCACATACTTCAAAATATTCAAACCATTCAAACTTCAAAATATTCATCTCATTGAGGAGATTCCGGCTTGTATTCAATATTTTCCTAACATTCATACTTTCCGAGATATTCCAGGTTTTCTGACCGATTTCTCCCATTAGAAATGCATTACAGATGTTCAAAACGGCCCCTTTTCTCACATTTTCTTGACACAACTTCAAAAGCCTTCAACTTCGCCATACTTCAACCACTCCAAGCTCAGTGAGTGTGACAGAAAGGAATTATTCCAACAGAAAAAGTTTGTGCTCTTTATCCAGAAAACTCTCCAATGTTCTCTCAATCACTCAGTTTTACTTTAAACATGGACTGGACTTGCAGAAAATGGTGATGCTGACCTCTGATTGCGCCTCAGTAATGTTAGAAAAGCACAGTGGAGTTGCAGCTTTATTAAAGATAATATAATCTTTTAATAGTCCCATGGGGTAAATTTCAAAATTACAGCAGCAAAATACAGATACAAAAGAGAGTCCCATAGAGAGGACTTGGCCATTGATGATGCCTGGAAAGATGTGCCTTTGATGCAAGATGTGGAAACTCTTCTTAGAGCTGTATATTCTACTTTTTCTTGGTCCACTGTTAAGAGGGGCAAAATGGAGGACCAAGCAAAGATTCTAGATGAGGACACACTGTCATTCAGGCCTCTGAGCAAAGTGCGATGGCTGTCGCAGCACCAAGCTGTGAATGCTGTTCTGAGGAACTACACTGTGCTTGATGAATACTGCAAGAGAGAATTCAGAGATTCAAAGAGTCAAAGAGGTGATGAGGACCTCATCAACTGATGACAGCGATACCGGTGAGATTACTTTTTTTATTCGTAAGCTCTTTGATCACTTGGATGCTAATTTTCCAGAAGATGGATTAAAGGAGTGGTCTGCATTTGACATCGAAGCATTGAGCTAAGAGATCAGTTTTGAGTATGGATCAACAGACATTGCTTCGCTGGCAAAGAAGTATGAGGCCATTTTCCACCACCCACATTCTATGGAGGCCATTAATAGTCAATAATGCCGAATTCAAGTACAAAGTGAAGCAAAAACGTAAACAAGGGTCAATCAGCACATTCTCAGATATAGTAAGGAGCTAAATGAGATCTACATTAGATGTGAGGAGCTAAATGAGATCTCAAAGCTTGTGGATATTTCTGCTACATTTCAAGCACCCAGTGCAGATTGTGTAAGAGGCTTTAGTTTAATGACTTGTATCAAAGCAGCATTCAGAAATCGCCTTGAAGTGGCACATTTGGACCAGCTGATGCGCTTAGTTAAAAAGTCAAAGCGAGAAGCAGACAGGGCTATTAGTCCAGTAATAATAAGGTTGAGGATGGAAAAAAAATTATTTTGTTTCTCAACTGATTTTGACTGGAAATGAGGTCTAGTAGGCAGGATAAAAAAATCTACCCTGATCTGCTGAGTGCAAATAGTCTAAATCCAAGATGGCCACCACCGCAGGTGCCGAACGCCAAAAATATGCCTATCTTCCAAACTATTTGGGCCATAAATGCAAACAAAGTGTCGTACCCTATGTTTTTGGGGTCAATGAATTGATTAATAGCATTTTTAATAAGACTGAGATTTTCCTTTGTAACTTAACTTAAAATTGATTGTCATTTAAGGGTGATTTACAATGGAGGTAACTGACACCATTGCTCCATAATGTTTTTCCAGCTCTAGCTTCAGCATCTTGGGTGTGTAGACTTCCTCTTCGGTCATGCCACTCTCCCTGAGCATAACTTGGCGCAGGTCTTGCAATGGGATGGTTTCATCGTCATTCTTTTCCAGAAAGTTGATCGCATATTGAAAAGCAGCAACTTTGGATGAGCTTCTAGGTCGACCAAATTTTTCTGTCTTGTGGAAGAATTGCGTTCTTCAGATTCAAAATTTGGAGGGGCCTTTCGGTTCATGAACTTGTCCTTGCATTAGTGGTGGTATAGGGCCTCCTCAGCTGATAGATCATTTATCACTGAGAGACGAGACCTTCAAGGTCCACTCATCCTCCATTGCGTGACAGTGGCTTAGAATGTTCTCTTGAAACCCTAAAGTCATAACATGACTGTATATGTAAGGAGCTTTGGTAGGTTTTTTCTTTGAGAGAGATGTCAACAAACTCTCCACAGAACTGGCAGTGGGTTTTGAAATCAAAGGCATTCTCCTCAGCTGATCTCAACTTTACTTTGACCTCTTCAGAAGAATCCTGTTTTTTGGCAGATTTGATACCTTTGGGATTGGTGTGCCTGCTCCTGCATACTTTGTGCACAAGGATATCATGATTCTTGTCAAATAACAAATCTGGGACATCCAAGCTTCTCGCTTTGTTTGCCTTGTTGATGCCAGCACACCCCTTCTCTGTAAGTTTGACATAGTTATTGGACTTGTCTAGGGCCCTCCTCACACGAGGACGGCCCCGTATTGTCTTGGCTTCGGCACCAAAACGTGTATCGCTGTTTACACATCGTATTGTACATAGGCTTAGTGCATTTACACGACAACGCAAAATCCTGTAGTACATACGCCCAGCCTAAAGGTGACACTGTGAAATTGCCACAAAGCACCGAAAACAGAGAATGCGCATGCGCATACAAGGTGGACTTTCTTCTTGTCCATGCTTATGTTCTGTACGTAAACAACAGCGGTAATTATGAACGCCACTCCTGGCACTGGCAGAAAGTCAACTTTCGTGTGGACAAACGAAGAGGCAGAACTTCTACTCCAGGTCACACTTGATTACAAAACGAAAAAACTCCAAGAGAATGTTGACTGGGAGTCCTGCTTATCAAAATACGTGGACATCATGCAGCACTTTGTGAAGCAGTATCCGCAGCAGCCAGACATAGACAAATTTCCCCACGACCCCAGCACCATAACTAGAGCTCAGCTCACCGCCAAACTAAAGGCAATTTGGTCTAAATACAGGGCGGCAGTAGACACAGGGAAGAGGAGTGGGCAAGGGCGTGTGGTTTATGAGTTTTTCGACCTGTGCAGCGAGATCTGGGCTGGGTCGCCTGCCACAAGCACCCTGGACGGCGGGTTTGAGAGTGTGAACCTACAAGAAAAATCGTTTCTTGGAGAATCTTCAAGTTCGACAGCTCCAGGGTCACCACACTCTCTAGAGGAAACAAGTGAAAGTCAAGCAGCCAGCTGCCAGTGCTGCAAATAATCGCAGGGATTTGCTCCAGGTACGTTCATGATTAAAGTTTAGCAGGTTTAATATAAAAGAGGATATTTTGACGTGTCTCTCTCTCTCTCTCTCTCTCTCTCTCTCTCTCGCTCTCACGCAGGAGAGAGATCTGTGAGCTTGTAGATCAGCTGTTTTATTATGGTATAGATTGTAGCCCATACTATTCCCTAATCACCTTGTGACATGCCCACAGTAGGTTTTAAATGATTTTTGGTTTTATGAATTATCAAATAACATTTTGTGGTCTCATACTGAGCAATAATTCATAATAATTCAGATGTCTAGTTAATATGTAATACATGTATTGTAGCTGTTCAAATGTGTTCTCTATTCCAGGGTTTCTTGAAGAACATTTGCATTGTTTTTCTATTCTAGTCATCGCTGACCGGCCACAGTACCAACAGGCTGAAGAGAAAACTTCCTGCTGAGCATTTCATGCAAGAAGATCTTAAGGTTAAAAAGAAGATGCTGGAATTCATGGAGGGATCGTCCAGGCGCATGGAGGAACTCAGGAGGAAACAGCCAGGCTCGCTGAGGAATCCTCCAGACGCAGTGCAGACAGCTTGGCCAGCTTTACAAGCAGTATTAATGAAACTCTGTCCCTGATGAGGCAGGTTCTTGTGGCACCTCACACTGTACACCCCCACAGTAGCAGCAGTGGATATGGGCAATTCCAGTTCATGCCTGGCCCTTACCCTAACACATCCCACTCATCAGCACACATGGCCCATGACCCACATCCCCCCAGATACCATACACACACATCAACAGCATTTTTGACCTCCAATCCACCAGCACCATTTACCCCACACTCACAGTCCTCCCCACCATTTTCTTACACACAAGCAATGTCTGCAATTGAAGATGACTGAAGCACTGAGCTTCACTTCACAACATGCCTCACTGTTTTTGCAAATTAGACAGACCTCTTTTGCACAGAAATGTAGCACAGTATACAGACTTTTGTGCTAGTGCGTTTATTTTGCACAGTTATTTGTTGCTGTGATTGGCAGTATAGCAACGCTTTTTGTACATATATATTTTTGTAACATTAACTTGATTATCTCAATTTTGTTTTGTCGACTTGCACTTTGGTCTTTTTTTAAGAACTTTTTGACAAGACCTCAGGATTGGAAGCCATTTGGGATTATTGATGCTATGTGTCATATATAGCAACACATTGTTTGTAATGTTAACGTGATTACCTCTAGCTTTGGCTGACTTGCACTCTGGTCAGCTTTTTTTTTGGTTTTGTAACTATGCTGACTAAAGTTTGATTTGAGCACTCCCAGCTTGTAGATCTGTCTTTTCAACTCACTGATGTTATGAAGTTGATTTTCCTCAAGTTCAGCAATGCAGATGTTTACAATACTATGACAACTAGATAAAAATGCTGTCAAAAGCAGCACTAACCACAAGGTATTGACATGAAAACAGATGAGAACCACTTACTTAACATTCTGCTATCTTAAAATAATTAATTACAACTACTAGTTGATCATAAATATATCTGTTCATGAATCATGAATCAATTTCAAATTGGGTTTCAGGGACTCCAGAGTTCCTTTAGCGGATTCCAATCTACCGTATAAAATCTACCCTATTTTATATTAATGCCAGTATATTTCACTCTTTAAGTAACATTTTCAGTTACAGTGGCAACAGATATTTCTTATATTATGGTATTGCTACCTTAAGTGACTATATGTACTTTTTCCCAACACTGCAATCTAGCCATCTGGGTGTATTCTATTTAATAGCCATGTGCATAATCCTGTGAAACACATTTTCGAGCTTTTAGACAAGATCAAATCAGAGTAAATTCAGACATTTTACAAAAGAAAGAGCGAAGGGACAACCAAAAGGCTCAGAGTATCAACAATGTCCATGTGCATAATCTTGCCATATTGCAAAGGAAGACAAGTCTCTTAAGTCCTTAAGGGTCAAGGTACTGTGTGAGAACTCTCCTTACTCTCTTGCCCTCTGACTCATTTGTCTCAGTGAAATATCTATTGCTGTGGGAGGCTGTAAGGTGCGCTGTTCTTCCATGGTTGCCAACACAGAGTTCTCATCCTCGTCCTCATTTCTTGCCTTACAAAAATTGTGGAGGACAAAGCAGGAGTAAATAACATAAGGCAGGCCATCCATGTTTATGTCCATAGGCCTTTTAAGTGCACCAAATTTTGCCTTGAGCTGCCCAAAAGCACACTCGATGACCATACGTGACCGACACAAACATAGCCCAAAGTACTGCTCCTGAGCTGTGGACCCACCGCGGGCATATTAATTCATCAGGTAAGGTAACAGTGGGTAGGCAGGGTCACCCAGAAGACAGACTGGTATAGGCTCCTCGTGGTCCACGATCTGTTTTGTCATGGAAGGGATCTTGCCACTCATCAAGTCTTTGTTTAGCTGGGAATTTGCAAATACTTGTGCATTATGCACGCTCCCTTTATCACTACATCTATGAATCTGTACTTGTCTGAGGCATTGGCTCTTGGCTGATTGACGTCTATGTGTGTCCCGTCGACAGCCCCAAAACATTGCGGCATGCCAAAAGCCTGTTCGAAACCTGCAACCAGTCCCTCCATCTCGGGCTCTGTATAGGGTAGTTTGATGTATTTTGGCCCCAGGTGTACGGTGATCGCTCTGCAGGTCTCCCGTATAATAACAGAAGCAGTCGGTCGGGACACGCCGAAGGCGTTAGCTGTCTTGGGTAGCCTTCCTTCATCGTTCAGGTAATACAAAGTCAGTGCAACTCTTTTCAGTGGATCAACAGGTTTCCTCATATTAGTAGTTTCTTTTTCAATAAGTGGCCGTATTTCTTCGCACAAGGCGATGACAGAGGCCCCTGACATGCGGAAATTCTCCCTCCATTGACTGTCTGGTTTCTCACCACTGACGTGTTTGTCCCAGAAATCGCTCGTTCTCCCAGGTTCCATCCAAAACTGTCTTCAGGTTGCCCGTCTGGTTCTGCTCCAAGGTGGATTCCAAGACAACAAGTTGTGCACTCATAACATCCTGTGTCTCTGCATGAGCACTTGTTTCTGTTGTTGCCGTAGCTGGTGTTGTTGCTGTTCATGTTGGCATAAAAGTCGTAGCAATATTTGTAGTTGCTGGAACAGGAGCAAACTCACCCCAGCTACCTCCATTGTTGTTGTTACTGTGTGTGTGACAACATGGGTTGGGGGGCGGGGAGGAGGAGGGGTGCTGTGAGGTCATCGTCTTTACCGGACTTACGTATTTACACCAACTACGGCATGAAGACGAATACACAGATATGCACTTGCAGACCCGTTTTCAAAAAAGATGCGGAGTCATGGACAAATACGCGTCTCTGTGAGTCAATATCACCAGATCGATAGTTTATTTTACTGGTGTCTTACAAATTCGTACTCGTGTAAAGACCACCTAGGTCTATCACTTCACTACAGATGACACATGCCATCTCATTCTTCAAATTATTATACTTATCTCTCAGGGGAAGGTCCTGGGGCCTTATGTATCAATACTTGCGTGGAACTCATACCAGAAACGAGCGCACGCAAGGTCCGTCACGCTGAAAAAAATCTGTATGTATCAATGTGTGCGGGCGCCGAAATCCACGTGTGTTTCCTTGATAAATCCCAATCAGCATGGAATTGAGCGCAGATGTGGGAGTGACTGGGCCCGTCCCCGTTTCGCCCTCCTATAAATATGCAGATTTATTTAAATAGGGTCTCCCTGTCCTCGCACGCAGACAAAATGACAAGAAAAACTAAATTTATGGCGTGCGAGGTGGAGGAGCGACAGCGTGTTTTGTTTGGCAGCCTGTCCAGTGGCGTCACTGCAAAACAAAAACGCTTGGAGTGGGAGAAAGTTTGCGAGAGGGTGAATGCGGTGGGTTCCGAGACACGCACCCCCGCCGAGATTAAAAAAAAGTGGTCGGACCTCAAGGTGGAGGTCAAGCGGCGTACAGCTGCCCTCCGGAGGAGTACCGGCCAGACAGATGGGGGTCCGGGGGAGGAGACCCTCACACCGTTTGAGCAGCGGGTGGTGGCGATTATTATTATAGGGTAAGTGGCGTGTCACACAAATGTCCACATGCTTTGTCATCCCACTGAGCAAAAGACGTATATTAGACGTCTAGTCTAAGTTTATACTTCATTTCAACGTCGGGATTCAGTCTATTTTTAGACGTGATTTATACTTCGCCCTTAACTTCATTTTTCGATAACTTTTTGTGCAATAAACAACTGTAATGTGCATAACTGACCTCGAAATACTGGATTACATTACCTATGATACCGTGGAGAGAGATGTAAACGCAACAGATACACAGAAGCAGGAATTGAAATGAACAAATATTTTTATTGTGTCACAGAAATCAATGTGTCTGCCGTGTCGCCGGCTTGCGGAACCCCGGCCCGCGGCAGCCCGTCCGCCGGCTCGTAGTCGTCGGCCAGGACCAGCGACATTCGGGCCACCCCGGCCCCAGCACCAGCACCAGCACCAGCTGCGCGCCGACAAGCGGTGGAGCGTCCACCAGCCGCGGCGCTTCCGCTGGACCACCCGGACGCAGAGGAAGGGTCCTCGCGGAGGGGGTCCTGCAATCGCAGGAAGAAATCATCAGGGGGATCACGGGGATCAACGAGCGGCTGGACCGGCTCGTAAATGTCCTCGAGCGTCTGGTGGAGAAAATAAATTAATTTGGCTCATTGAACTGTGTATTCACTTCTTACCCATTCACACTGTGGATGAGATTCTCCCGCGCGAGGACGGTGGCCCGGCAGGGATCAGCTCGCATCCATCCGTCTGCTGCTGGTTCGTCATGTGGGGCGACGTGCTGCTCGGCCACGGGGATGTGGTTCACGCTTGTCACATAGTGAGTCACAAACACCGCCACACAGCGTCGCCAAAGTGCGAATCACAGTCAACGCAAGTATCGGCTCAACGCCAATTTCTACACCACCTCCTGACTTTGCGTTGATTAGCGCTGGAACCGACGCTCGTTTCGCGATGATAAATCTGGACGTGTGCGCCGATTTTGGCGTACGCAAGGTTTTCTTGCGCCGCAAGCGTTGATATATAAGGCCCCTGGTGAGGTGGAGAGTCTGTGGTGAATGACTGTGTGAGTGAGTGGCTGCAGAGTGAATGTAGGGAGACTGACTCTAATCAAACACAGGTGCAGGGGATTTTGCAGGTGTAGCTAATCAGATCAATTGGCTCAGTACTTGGCTACTTCCAGCAATATTGAACTGGGGACAGGTGTAGATTACAAATAAGACTGAATGAACTAGAATAATATGAGTGAATATTTCACAGAATGTATTCTGCCCTCAAAAGCCAAAGTGCAGAGATTACGTTTTTGGAAACACAGACTTGTTCACGTATTCCAAAGGTCAAATTAACCTTTGTGATTTTGGGGGATAAATAATTACATCAAGAACAGACATTCAATTAGTGCAATGTCACTTATATGCTGATATCTCATTTGTCTGACCTGTAGGAACAATTTTACAGTGTTTTTCCCGGCGTAGTTACTGAGCTTTAGCTTTAGAGGGCATTGTGATTGCAATTATCTGCAAATAGGTCACATGTGGACAAATAATACCGAAATAAATGAACTCCTTGACCTGAAAAACATAGGATTAGACACTTTGTTTGCATTTATAGCCCTAATAGTTTGGAAGATATGCAGTTGTTGGCGTTCAGTAGCTGCTGTGGCGGCCATCTTGGATTTAGGGTATTAGCACTCAGCAGATCTAGGTAGATTTTTTTATCCTGGTTACTAGACCTCATTTCCTGCCAGAATCAGTTGAGAAACTAAATAAATTTTTTTCCAACCTAAGTGAACTTTTTTACTAGTATTATCGGACTAGGGACACCAACGGCACGAAAGCGTGGATAAATGCACGCTTGAAAAATTGAGGCGCGCTTAGCATTTCGTGCCAAATGGGACACCGTTTGCGCCACGTGATGACATCATGCACGCTTTAAATGCGCCATTCGACAATGCGGTCTCTGAAATGAGACACAGCCTCAATTACCTGCCACTTCTGCTACACCGGCCATGTTAGTGTGCAAGCTTGTGTGAAGAGGAGTGTGCAGAGCAACAATGTCTCCACTCATAACTCAAAGGTGAATTGTTAATGAGCAACTGGAGCACTGCAGAAGAAAAGCCCTTACACAATAGGCCTAATCTGATTTTGACTAAAAAATTCATAATCACAATTTAAAGGGAAAGGGAAACCTGAACAGACCGAACCAATTGCAAACAATGCAACAGAAACACGGACCATCGTCTGGACTTTCAGATGTGAAAACACCCTCAGATACTCCAGAGCACGGCTGAAAAACAGTCTTATACCCTCCGACATCACAGCACTGAACCAGGAGAACCTGGTTGTCTTCATTCATGTAACGTTGAATGTAACGTTAAATTGTGTTTAGTAGCTAAACGTTTTTCTTCTTTGTGCCAATATATGTAATTCGCTTCATATCTGTACGTACAAAATGTATAAATATTAATTTCCTGGAGGGGACAATAAACTCACCAACTAACTAACTATAGATTTCCGAGCAGCTCCTGAAAGCAGCAAGGTTCCCGCCTGCCAGGAGGAGAATCTATTTTCCTTTATCTCCGCTGTCGTAAATGATGCTGCGCACTGATTGGCTGCTGAACGCAGACTTCTGCTCCATCCTGCTGGGAGACTCTCGCAGAGAGTCGGGCTGAGTCCTCAGTCAGCGCTCCTCCCGGTGATCCCCGATACAGCTTTACCTTTCCGTTTGCCGCTCTTATCAAACACATGCACTCATAAGTGCACTCTGCGTCTGTGCGCACCACCAGCTGCTGCAACCTGCAGACTTCACCTGAACCAGCAAAGCGGGGACCAAAACCTCCAGACGATGCGTGCACGCTGCATTAAGCGCTATCGCAGGTTATTAGGACTTTTGAGCTCTTTGCGGAGGTAACGCGGGAGGTGCAGCTTGCATGCCGTCACTATGGATTTCCTTTTGCTTCTGATATGGACTTTGCCCATCCCGCTGGTTGGCTGCACCTCACTCAAGCTCCTGTCTACCTTTCTATCTTGGAATATAATCAAGGCATGTGGCATTTAATTTTAAGAGTATCCTCAGCACACTCACCGAAGATGTTAGGGACACAAAACAAACAAACAAACGTGTCTCTCTTTGAGGAGATTCATATCTATACTTGGTCATTAGTTGAGACGAAAAGAGTCTCAAGTGGTTGTTACCCCAAACTCAACACCGGCACAACACTTTTCAACACAGGAACTTTTTATATTACCTCCTGGCTTCCACTCCTGCAAGTGCTGCAACCTATTGCTACCTGTGTTGTAAGTTTTTTGTTTTTTTTTTGTTTGTGTTTTTGTTTTGCAGACGCTGCACATTTACTGCACTCATACTTCCCACACCGTCTCTACCAGCTATTCTTACAGCGACAGCCATGGATTAAATCACGGTGAGTGCCTGTTGTCTCACGTCTCTAACACAGATTATGTAGATGCTGCTTCCACCAGGCATCTTTCCATGTTTGCAGGTGCAATGTTAAAAAAAAAAGGTGATAGAGGACTGAAAGGTTCCTGAATTGCTCTTTGATTAAACAGTTACCTTTTCTGTGTTATCACCACAAGTTAACAGTTTATTTTGTTAAAAATGCAAGGAAATCCTGCAGCAGTGGTTTTGGAGGCAGGGCCGGTGAGTGCACTAGACATTCAGGGAATCCCCCTTTGGTTGCTTGCTTTGACTCTCGAAAAAAAAAAGGAAACCATTTGAGATGTTTGAAATCTCTGATTTACTGAGAGATGATAAGGGTGAACTCCTCTCACTTAGAAGAATTCCTTCATGATTTATGCCTGTCAGACACAGACAAATTCTTTGAGAAGAAAATTAAAAATATCACAAATGGTTACAATTTCTGCTTCTGGATGAAACCACACATCACTTCATGGCTTTGAAATAGTACAATATATCACTGTATTTGAAAGAAACACTGTGACAGTGCATAAATCAACCCAGATCTGACATGCATCAAATCACGATGTTGGCCTTTTGTTTTCTTCATACAGTTATCTGTGATCCATATGAAGAGAGGTTGTTTTGGGGACAGTTGTGTTTCTTTGACAGCTCTGACAAAAGCCTGTGAAGATGTTGGAGCATAACAGTTGACAACTTTTTGAACTTTATTGATAAAATGCAGTATATGATAGAGTTTTTCAATATGTGAACTTTTTCTAGCTATTTAGAGTATGAAGAGAATTATTGAGAGAGTACGAAGAGCCTGCATCACATAATGTCCGGTCATGCTCGAGGTGTCTGGGGCTGGCAAATAAAAGATTGATCTTTTAATAAAATGAATAGAGATTGAAAATGTCAATAAAAAAATTAATCTGAATCAGAAAATAGATTTTTGGAACCTAGCCCTAATTTTATCTCTACATAAAGAAACAGACTGCAAAGCAATCATCAGATGTTGTGTTTTGAATAAACGCTGCAATTGATGCCATTTTTCTCTTCAGTGACATAAATACCAGACTGAATGAAACATTTGCAATAATTTTTGCCAATGTTTTCTGGAGCATGATCAGAAAAAGCAGAGGAGCTATTAGTTGGTGTCTTGGAGCACAAATCAGTTGCAAAAAAGACAAAAAGGGGAGTTTTTAATTTTTTTCTATCCTTTTCTCCTCAGACTATGTGTTTGTAACCCCAATGGAGGTGGACTCTGATGGAGTTTACCTTACCCATGATGTGAGCAAACGAAGTCATCGCAGCAGGAGGTCCCTTTCGTCGTCCTCCATACATTATTGGCTCTCCGCCTTCGGGCAGGACATGCACCTTGACCTTCACCCCTCACCTGTGGTTGGCCCAGGGTTCACCGTGCAGACCCTCCGCTCAGATGGCATTTCCACGGTGATGGATGATACAGAGTTTCATGGCTGTTTGTATCAGGGATTTATCCATAACATGTCAGCCTCCTCTGCAGCCATATCAACATGCTCTGGACTGGTAAGTGTCTGCCAGTGAGTAATTGATTGGCTAATGTTATAAAATTTACTTGTGTATCTTTTACTTTGTGTTTTCTACATGAATCTCCCAATAGAGAGTAACATGGGAATTTACTATCCTCAAGGTTGTTGGATTTGGTTTCAAAGCAGTTTGTATTAACTCAAAAATGCCTTCAGGTGTGTTTTTGTGAACTCAAAGGTTTAAGAGGCAAATTTGAAATAAAAAGGGCCAAACTCTACAGATTTAATGATCTACTTTTATCTCAGGCACCATCCCTTCATGCCCTTAAAGGCATCTGTCCTCATATGACCCGTTTGTTTTGATGCATTACATCTGGCAATTCAGACATTGGTTATCTTCTGGGCTAACACTATGTATATATATATATATATATATATATATATGTATAATTTATGCATACAAATAAATATAAAAAGAAGTAGCGTCAGTATGTTTACTTTGAAGCAGCCGAGAGCGGGAGCTAACATGAGTCTGCAATGTTGATTTCTGTTAAATCTATCAATAAAAATGAGAAGAAGTTAAACTTCCCCCAGCGTCTGCTTGTGTAATCGGCTGCAACATCCACCACAGACGGAGTGGGCGTGCTTGGAGGAATTTTCCTGTTCCGTGCCGCGTTCATCTCAAATTCAGAATGGTGATCGGGATGTTTGGATATCAGGTGATGCATTAAACCCAACGTAAAATAACTCTAACCCCCTCTTGTAATTTTAGCATGACAAGCTATGCCAATCACTATTCATAGTTCTCATATACATGGAAATACACTGCAGACATTTTGGCTCTTAATCCAGACAAGCTCGTACTGGTTGTGGTTTTTGCTCACTTCAGTACAACATCTG